TTTGATAAATATTTTGTTCTGTGTTTTTAATAAGATTATTTAAGATACTGGAATGGCATAATTTTTTTAATGATCATCATGGCTGCATATAGTACTATAGAAATGTGAAATTTTGTGATAAATACTGTAGGAGATTTGGAGGTAATTTGCTCTTTGTTGTTTATGAATACCTAGACTGAATGGGGTTTATTCACTTTTTTTAGATAAAATTTTACATCTGGTTATTTTAGCAACATTTGTAACTGCCCTGATTGCTGTCTTTCTGGTGGCTACACCGCTTGGTTTTGCCCTGTACCAAGTCTACAACAAAATCAAATACGTGTTCTTTCCATCGTGCCAGCCTCCTTTGAACATAGAGGTAAGATGAGATGTATTTTTCTCATTCATTAAGCAGATGTATTTTTAGAAAAAATGAACAGAAAATATTATGAAAAAGCGTTTATCTGTTATCCTGTGGTCTTATGGGTATGCCAGGATTAACTGTATAGGTTTTAACAAAGTGCAGGAATTCCTATGGAAAAAAAATGGGTAGTATCAATTTCTAGAATTCTGTGATTAGCAGATATTTTAACTTTTATGTTTTTTCTTCTGTCTGTGCAAAAGTGTTGCTAACAATCCTTTATTCCAGAGAGTGTGCATGTCTACCCAATGTGATAATGTACTTTTGCCCTGCTATATGAGACCAGAAATGTTTTTCCATTTTGTTATCTGAAAGAGCATGCTCTAGCCTTTTTGCCATCCTTTAAAACTCAGAGGAGGCAAAAATGCAAGCCCAGTCTTTAGATGAAATTTCAGTGTAGCAGGCAGCAAACACTTGTATCATTTCCTGACCTAGTGGCCTGGATGGTCTCTAAAAAGGCAGGTGATGTCCAATTTCCAGCTCAGCTTGGCACAGGTAGTACTTAGTAGGGATACTGTTCTGGCATGAACAGGGCAGCACATTAAGTGTAGGGATATTTTGAAATGTAGCAAGAACTGCTTTTCACTGTGTCTCTCAGAACATTGATGTTGAGCAGTGTATGGCCTTCCTAACGTGTCATCTTCTCACTGAAGCTCCTAGGACACGTAGTATACAAAGCTTTCTGAACAAAGTTGTAATTTAAAACCAGTCTCGTAGTTTACAAGGGCTAATCTGAATTTAATTTGTAAGGAAGGCAGCATTTTAGCTGGTTTCTTCAGTAGAATACTGGTAACATAATTAATGCATATTTAGAACCTTTTTGTGATGGATTTGATATAAATGACAACTTCAGAGAATAGATTTAAAGCATGTAGGATAGACAGCAGTGCACTGTTGAGAGCTGTATAAGGTTTGGTATCCTGCTGCAGCAGCTCACTTTGTCCTTCTTTCAAACTTTTCTTTATAACTGTTAATGGTTTGTAGACTTTGCAAACACACACCTGTCGTTCCCATGCTACCACATGATTTTTGAAAGTGTTGTAAATTAGGATTTTCATTTACTTCTTGGGTCGCCTCATAAGGCTATAATCAATGACATATTGCAATTATATAGATGATTGACAACTACGAGCATAGCAAAAGAGTTAAGATTAATGCTAGACTTATTCTTTAGTGTTCGATTATACACATGCAACTAAACTTCATCCTAACTTTGAGTTTGTGAACTTAGGGAAACAAATGGCATATTATAGGTAGAAAACCTCATGATGCTACTGAATACGATAAACCAGTTTTGTACAGCTGTGGTGTTAAGCAGAATCATTATGTAGGTATTATGTACGAATGTTCATCTCTTCTGCTTCTCCTTTTGCAGGGTTTTGGAGGACAGCTCTTAAGCAGTCCTTATCTGTCAACTACAGAAGAACCAATAGAAAATTGTTCTATAATTGAGACTATCATCACAGAAGAAGTAAATCAAACTGATTTTAAAGACTACATACATTCTAAACAGAGCAGTCGAGATTCAGGAAATTACTCTAACGACGATACTTCAGGGAGCAAAGTGTCAGAAGAAACACTAGAAAAGGAAATAGTATAACTTCTAAGAAAATAAAATTCATATATGGGACTGGCAGTGTAATAAACACTTAAAAATTTTTTATTATGAAAGTCGCAACCTAAGGAAGGCAGTATGACTTTGGGATCTTTGTCTTCAGGTTTCCAAATCTGCACTTTGTTAGTGGAAAGTTACATACCCTCTCTGCTGCAAACTGATTAAAGTTAAAACACAATTGACTCCTTGTACCTTACGCCATTTTGACTGACATTTCATCATATGATAAAAAGAATACCATCTGCGTGAAGAGGAGCAGATCTGTACACTTTATATACTTGAACCTGATAACCTCGGCGAAAGCCTACTCCTGTTCCACAGGAAGAATTTCTCTTTATCTTAGAAGTTTGTTTTGAATGCCAGTGTGTACTGTGACAGAAGCCTTAAATTCCAGTATTGAATCGTAAGATGTTTACACAGGCAGAAGGAAATTGATGGATACAACTTTTTTGACATCCTCTTCCAGCCCCCTGAGGGGCAGTGCTTTTTGGCTCAGCAGGTCCAGAGCAAAAGATGCAAAGAGACCAACAGTCAATGAGGTAGCTTCTCTGAGCCTCCTTGTAGAATTACTTGGGGCCATGGCTGTGGGATGCTCCCAGTGCCCACTTGTTTGTTTCTATATCTGTGTCCCTGCATCAGGGTGCTCTTCTCCCACAGCACTCAGTAATCTGGGCAAGTATGGGGAGGGCAAAAGGCAGGAAGGAGGTTCACTTCACTTTACTATAAAGAAAAATTTCTAACTAGAAGCTCTTTGTAAATGAGGTTGGATCAAATTGTTTTGCACTGCATTTAGGATAAAAAAAAAAGAACATCCAAGCAAGATGTACGCTGCAAGAAGAAACTAAAGAATACTGTTACTTTAAATGACAAGGCACGTTAAGAGGCATATTCTTGATTATTTTTTTTCCCCATGGCTACGTAACCAGAAGTGTGTAAAATATTTATTTCTAATTGAATTGTATTTAGAAATGTGAGTCTCTTAACAAGGAGGAAACTTATTTCTGTAATTAGAAGGACCCAAGTTGAATTTAGAAAATGCCTATTAACAGAATGGTGAGGATGCTTGTCATTCAGAGCTTTTTCAGCTTAGTCTCATTTTGCCAACAGTTTTTTCTTTGTACAGATTAAAAGGATATGCTGCAATAATGTTTCAATTTGCATGCCACTTTCTTCTGAGGTAGTTTTTAAAAGTAGCTTATTTTTTGTGAAGAAATTGATTTAAAGTAAACTGGTTTTGAGCTTCATTGTTTATTTTCACAAGCAACTGTTGGTGTTTATAATTTTTTTTAATTTTGAAGATGTGAACTAATTTTATAAATTTTATATCCCTATGTTCATTGAAGAACATAATAAATTTTGCATATTTACTTCTTTATGCTTTTCTTGGTTCCATATATTTTTGATGTAGTGACATTGAAGCTACACTATGGATACTTAGGAAGCTCCCATAAGTCTTCAGTTACTGACCTCCCTAAAAAAAACATTGTGAAGAGCATCATATATAAATTTAATTAGGGCTTACTTTGAGAGTGTTGCATGATTTGGACAAATCAGAAAGAAAGTGCTAATTCAGTTGCTGAATCAGGGCTTAAAATGAGAACACTGAATGTGAGCATTCCAGTCATTGTGGTCTTTGGTAAATAGCTTCCATCTCCAAATTCTTGCGAGATACTTAAACGGAGCATGGTATGAAGTTGTCTGTATTTGTGTGGTCTCTTCAGTATAATCTAAGTTTGCTGTGAGGATGCAACTTATTTATGCAGCTGTTCCTCTTAGTGATTTATGCTGTAGCTGGTCTTCCTGGGTGTTTTTTTTTTTCTCCTGGACAACTTCAATTTCAGTCTATTTTTCTTATTTGTGACCTACTTCTACAGTAGAGTTTGGGGACATATTTTCATTTGGGGGATTTTCAAAAGTGAAGCTATTCTAAACACATTTTCTGAAGTAAGGTGTGGTGGGTTATGGGTTTTGTTTTTTCTTTGCTCATCTAGGGAAAAGGTTTCATCTGCTATTTCAGCAGCTAACTGTGGGCTATTGTTTTGATAACTGTTTTCTGTGACAAGATTTTATTTGCCTCCTGGAGTTTCAGCACTCTGGAAGCAAGCTATTTAATGTGAAGGATTTCACTGTTGGATTTCACTGTCAAGATTTCAAATTATGGCAAAACAGCGTACAGTGAATGTTTCTGAAATAGGCAGAATTCATAATTTGCAGGCAATCCACATTTTTCTTCAGAATGTAGAACCAAATAAGTGATAATGAATATATATGTAAACTTGAAGTTTGGTTATAAGATGGATTACAGAAAATCTTCTATCAGTTCTTTTCATTGTTGCCAGGAGGAGCAAAATGAGAACTGTAAGATAGAAATACTCATTCTATTTATACAATACCTAATACTTAAACTGGAAAATAAAGTTCCTAAATACCTGACACAATCTCATTCTGATACATTTCAGATGTATCCAGAAATGCTAGAAAAATAATGTGACAGAGCTTTTACAGTTCACATTCTAAGAGCAGTTTATTACAGTGCATAAAGGAACCTTGTTTAAATGTCTTTTTTAAATTTCCAAAGTCTTTCTAAAGAATAAGACCCTTGAAGTGTTTTTCTCTTTCCTCGTTCAAAATATTTCTAACAATAGAAACCTAATTTTATTATGTGGTATGGAAGAAGTCTGAGGAGGAACTATATTTGACTCTTCACTGAAATTATTCAGTGGGATAAGATACAACCCTATTAATAATTGAGTACTTTCAGCTGGACAATGTAGAGTTGGATTTGTCAGTACTAATGGTAAAAATAACAAGCACGTTAAACCCAATGTTTTTGAAACTAGAAGCACTTAACCAATGGTGATATTGTGGAAAACATGTAATATAATCAGCTTTAAGACTCAGTGTGAGGAGGCGTGATGAAGCAGAAGTTTCCTGTCATGGGATTGTTAGTTGAAAGGAAACCAGCATCTGGTAATGATTTTGCATATTGGGTCACACATGCTGTGACTTTCCCATGACTTCTGCTTTTGGAATGGATTTTGTTATTAGGATTGGGTTTATAAATATAATTTCAGAATAATGTGCTTGATGCTGATGGCTAAGAATGTACAGATAAAAATATAGTTAGTAGAGAACACTGGTGATGGATCTTTGTGGGGTATTGGGTCATTTTTGTAGGGATGCTTTACTGAATGGTATTTGTGCAATGCCATTAGTACTTGACTGTACTTTGTACTGAGGTATTGGCATGTTTGTTAGTGTTATGTACTGCTGTTTGACATTGGGACTTTATTTCAAAGAAAAAAATCTGAAGCTGCATGATGGTAGGATTATTTCTGACTTTACTAGTAATTCAGTGTCTTTTGGGTAGGGAGAAGCAGAGGAGAATCTGCAGAGGAGGAACTGTGGTAGATGGCTATGTTCTATTCTTCCTATTAGTACAAGTATTTTTTGAATGCATGCCAGTGATGATTTTCAGTTAAGGTGAAATTCATAAGTACAGTAGTACCTGGAAACGCAGTATTTGATGTAAATGAAGAAATGTAGGTAGAGTCTTGGGGCGTGTATGCCTTTCTTAAGGATTGATGACTTTAATGATCTACCTTTACTCAGCACTGGTGAGGCCACACCTGGAGTGCCGTGTCCAGTTCTGGGCTGCCCAGTACAAGAGAGACATGGACACACTGCAGAGAGCCCAGCGAAGGGACTGGAGCATCTGTCCTGTGAGGAAAGGCTGGGAGAGCTGGGACTGCTCAGCCTGGAGAAGAGAAGGCTCAGGGGGATGTCATCCATGTATATAAATACCCAAAGGGAGGGTGCAAAGAGGACGCAGCCAGGCTCTTTTCAGTGGTGCCCAGTGACAGGACCAGAGGCAATGGGCACGCACTGAAACACAGGAGGTTCTCTCTGAACATCAGGAAACACTTTTTCACTGTGACGGTGACCGAGCGCTGGCACAGGCTGCCCAGGGAGGTTGTCAGAGTCTCCATCCTTGGAGATAATTCAAAAGCCTGTGTCTGGACGCAGTGCTGGGCAACTGGCTCTGGGGGCCCTGCTTGAGCAAGGGCGTTGGAGCAGATGCCCTCCAGAGGTGCCTTCCAACCTCAGCCATGCTGTGGTACTATGATTCTTCTCTCTTTTTGGACAGTATTGCAAAACATCTAAGACGTGAACTAAGCCACTTTTTGTTCTGGTTTTGGTTTTTGTTTGTTTGTTTCAGATGTTCTGTCAAGGCCCCATTAAAAGTATAATTGTGGCAGACTTCAGACCATGAGGTAGTTGATAAACAGTCATATGCAAATAATCAGTCTCAGTGCTGAGCAGTTAAACTAAGCTAGAGGAATACCAGACATGGCATAGTCCTCCTGACAAATCACAGTTTGTTAGGGTTGCAGGTAAGCCTGGAAAATTTCTGACAGATAGGCTTATGCCACTAGAAGAGAAGTTGTCTGGTAAATTCTTAAGGAAAAGGATATCGTTGTTGCAGGCTGATAGTCATCAGTATAAAATGAAATTTCTGTGACACTTAACTTGCATTTCTTAACTGTCCACTTATCCATCCCCCAAATCTCCCTATCTGTAGCACCCAGTTAAAAGAAGTGCAATAATATGTTTTAAGAATCCCAAGGCATCATAGCAAGTGCCACTTTTTGATAAATGGCTTATTTGCTGTTGCTGTCTGTGACAGATGATCTGAACTTTCAAAGACTTGCCTAAGTGATTGATCACGTACCGGGTATTTTAAGTAAATTTCTAGAAATGTAAGTAAGATTGCCTGCAAGTTTTCTAGCAAGAGATCTTTTCCTAGACCATCAACCCTTTATTTACTCCAGGCACTTGGATTACAGAACTGGGGATACATGTGCAGTATATATTAAATGCAGAGCAAACCAACAGAAAACATAGTTGGTCTTTGTAGAACTTCTTCCTCTCGACATTGCCTGCATGTCAGATACTGCAGCCAACTGGCAAGTGAATTCCACACAGATCTCAGTGAGGAAGGCTTTCCAGTTACATTGGAGTAGTGCTGGTCTTTGTAAATTCTTGTTTTCATCACAGATGATATTTCCTAGGTATCTAATATCCCATTTAAAAAAACAACATGACATTGTGAGCAGTCAGGACAAATTATTTCGCTGCTTGGAAAATATTTTTACAAACTTTACACTAGCAAAATTTGTATTGTCAAAATCTCTTGATTTCACAACACAATCAAAAAAAAAAATCTTTAAATCACTGAACAGCAACTGTTGTCTTGTTTTCTTTGCACAGGAAACAACTGTAATACCAGGAAATCCTATTTTTAATATAGATAGGTACAGACTGTGGGGATTTATTCAGTGATGTTGAATTGATGGTTCCATAATGACCATCTAAGCATCTGTTAGTGCAAAATTACTGTAATTAGTGGAAGCTACCACCATATAAGCAACAGATGATCTAGTTAATCT